AAAAAGGAAAGCTTCTCAAGTCGATTACTGAGACGAGTCTGTAGCCATGTTTGATTCTGCCGCGTTGTCGTTGTCGTTGCCGTTATTCAGCCGGTTTGCCCTGATCTATGTATCCCCCGGGAGGTACAATGGAGAGGGGGGGGGGGGGGGGCATTCAGTTTTACATGTTAACAGGAAAGGCCTGACGCCTGATGTGGACACTAAAACCGGGTCGAGGGCAGGAATGCTGCTATATTTGCATATCCCAAGTCTAAAGATGTGGTCGCGGGGTACTTGCAGCTGGAGCCGGCTATCTTTCATATTTTTATCTGCTACCTTTTATCTTACGTTTAAGCGCATTCGAAACAGCCGAGCCCTCACAAACACTGAAAAAAATTACAAATTGTAATTCGCTAATAGCCCGCATTTTGTGATCTTTGCACAGTGAAACACAGTTAAACTCTGACAACTGTGTGATGAACTACTTATAGAGCGAACTACAAATTGTAATATTTTCAGTGGTACATGTAGCTGACAGGGTTTCTCAAACTTTCACAGTCCTGGGAAGTGGACTCATCTCACTGACCAGAATGAAGACCAAGCCAGCCGGGCGATGGCTTGCCCTGCGCTTCGCCAATGTTCAGCGTGAACGTCTGGCGCCACTCCTCCGCCGTCGTGCGATCCTCCATGAACTTTGGAAACTCAGCCATGTAGGCCTCTGGGATATCCCAGGGATTGTTGGTGTTGATGTCCGTGCGAACGCTCGGAGTCACGACCGACGTCTGCGCTTCCTCTGAGATGGCCCAGCTCATGAACAGTGTTGTAGCGCGGCAAGCGCTAACAAGCGCCATGGCAGCGGGGGTTGCAGTCCCAAAAGCCACGGCGCATGGGTTTCGAAACGAACGAAGCATGCATAGAGTAACCACGAGTTGTAGTCGACCGCAGGCTAAGCTAATATACTCACTTCTACATTTGATCAAGGGCGACAAACAACAAAAACTTCTTTAGCTGGGGAGTCGCTTCCAGCATGGAGGAGTCCGACGAGGCAATGGTGCCTCACTGTGAGACGGGGATGCCGATTGCGGTGTATTCGCCTCTATCACCGTATACAGATCGTGAATTGATGTTGACCCGGGAAACAACGATACGAACGGCGGTAATGCAGGGTGGGGAACACACCGCCAAGTTGAAGCACTGGCCCAACACTCAGCGGCCGTGCAGCAAATGACTGCCGAGCAGATTGGACAAGTGAAGCGCCAGCAGGAGCATCTGGCGACCAAGAAATCGGAATGTCTTCAGCAACAGCACGACCGTCAGTCGGCCATGCATGAGCAGCAGCAAGATATGAAGCAACAGATGGAAGAGCACCGGCGATTCCTAGAAGAACAGTTCCGGTTGTTGAAAGCGGCTGAAGAAATTGTGGGTCTACAGGGGAAGCGCCTGGAGAGCCTGGCAGAGGCGGTGCAGCCTCATCTTCAAGCGCGCTGGGGTGCGTTCGAGCAAGGAGCAGCACCTCCATCGATGAACCGCAGCTCTGAGACGCCTGCTGTCACAGTAACTGCTGGGACCAACCTGCCGGTACCCCCGATATACCGAGGCAGCTCTAAGAAGGAGAAGCGTGACTTCATGGATAGTTACGCCATCTATACACGACGCATTAAAGCGTTAAACCAAGGCACACAAGCGAGTTTATTTGTGATGCCTCTTAGTGCCTGCATCGAGCAGAGCACGATGGTGCGCATTTGTGGCTTTGAATTGTTCAAGGGTGAGAGAGATATTACAGAAACGGAATGGAAGAACTACTTTTTGTCCGCTCATATCTCAGATCACACTGCGTACAAGACCCTGGAGAGAGAAGTGAAAAGTCTTTGTATGGATATTGAATTGCAGGATGCTGAATCACGTCTTTCGCGTCTCGTGGCAGATTTTTACACTATCGTGGATCGATTAAACATGGAGGACATGATTCAAACGGAACCAAAGAAGTTGTCGGATATTTAGTGGAGGCTCTACGACCACCAGCATTTAAAGCGGCAGTGAAAGATCAGTTGGGGCGTCAGATCCACAAGGCGACTAAGTCGAGTATTCAAGCATTCTTGAAGCGGCTTCGTGTTGAGCTGGAGGGGTTCATGCGATTCGAGGCTCACATCGCGGTGCACGCACCACCAAAGAGCAGTACTAACTTTCCGCCGTCATCTACATCGACCGGACCGGAAAAGAAGGGCCCGCGAGGAACTGGAGGAGGTAAGGCCACGTCGAGCGAAGCTAAGCTGGCGACGGTGTCGTACAAAGCGAAGCCTCCAGCGTCATCTAAGACAGAAAAACCAGACAAAAAGTGTTTTAAGTGTGGCGATCCGACCCATGGTGTTTTCCAATGCCCGAACATTGCTAGTCTACTGGAGGCGAAGGAAATATACGAGAAGAGCGCTGAAAAAAAGGCGATGAAGCCCGTTTTGGTAGCCACTTCCGGGGAAACGACGCAGGAGTCGTCTGCATCGATTCCTTGCCTGGTGATGGGAGCTGTGGAGACTTTAATCACTCCCGACAGTGCCTCCGTGTCTCTAGTGACAATGAAATTGATTAACGACTTGAAGTCGGCCGAAGGAGAGGTAGAGATGCAGCCTTTGGCAAAGCCATCAGGCGTGACCGGCGTAAAGG